TGTATGGGATGTGCCAAAGAGTGCTTGGCCACTGATGATGCCAGTTTTTTTATACGGGCTTTAAAATCCGTTTGAAATTTTGGTATCTTGTGTAGTCCAGATGATGATGTGGCTGTTTTTCCCATGTAGCTACACCTGCAGTCCCTAACTGTCCCTAGCTGTCACTTGATGGTAGGTTACATCAGACTTCATTCTCTTTGTTGGCAACCAGCTTGATCCTTGTGCTACTCTTGACTCTTAGTGGCTTTGTATGGCCTTAGCACTGTAATTCAGGGATTGTGGATCATTTGTCTAGAAGTGAATATAAGTGTAGTAAAACATGCACTGGATTCTTACAAAAATAGCATGAAACTTTAAAATATAGTTACTTCTTAGTTGTTACTTGTTATTCTAAATTTTATTTGTTGTGCACAAAACAAAAAATCATATAATTGACAGTACAAATAATATCTACAAAGTATAAATGCCACAAGCAAGCGTGACTATGACAACTTTTGTATAAAGGAACTTTGTATAAAGGAATAGATTAGAGACCGTGGTTAGTTATATTTTATTAAGGTAATCCACTTTTTTGAAAGTCATAATTGAAATGATACTAATATTTTTTATTGCTTTGTGCCTGGAGTGTGTATGCTCAAATAACCCTCTGCTGGTGTGGATACAATTTGCTGTTTTTCTGCTTTACAGTAACTTTATAATATTATGGCATGACCAGAGAAGACTGTGATTTTTTGCTACAGATTCTGTCAATCTGAATAAACTAACTTCAGTTCCTTTTTTTTTTTTTTTTTTTTTGTATTTTAGGTCAAAATCAGAAAAGGAGATGTTGGAGACGTCTTCCCCATAAACTCACCTGCAAGCTGAAGATCATCTAGTGTGACGGAATCTGAAGAATACTGTAACTACTATCCAAGGGATAGTAGTTGGAAAGCGACTTGGTCCTGGGAGTACACTGTTTCACTGACCTTTAAGGATCTTCCTCCAGTGTAAATTGTAAATAAGTAGTTTGTTAGGAGGTTGTTTGTTTGTTTGTTTTGTATCAATAAATATTAAGTAATGAAAATTGGTTTTGATTTCTTCACCTAATTCATTTAAGAACAAATTTTCTAGTAGTTGGTGAGATTTTGAGAATGCCTTTAATTGCATGAAAACAAGCAGATTCCTGCCTATAAATATTTATAAATAAGCTGAGGTACTTCTGAGTGTTTTTGAGGATGCAGATGCCCATCTCTTAACTGTTGTATCAGAGTTAATAAAACTCTCAAGGTGAGTTTGAAAGTAGAATAAGCCAGTACTCATTGTTTTTCAAAAACAATGTTCCTAAATGATGAAGAGGCTTTAGCTCCAATTTGTATCCCTGCTAAAAAAAAAAAAAAAAAAAAACTTTTATTCCTGCTCACGTGCATACAGGAACCACAGGCTGAAATGAAAATGTTGAAGAATTCTTATACTTTGAGTAAATGATAAATGGAGCTACGCTTCTGCTGCAGATTCATGAGCATTCGGTGCTCTTCGAATTCGGGGGTTTGTCTCGCACCCCTCCACCTTCTCCCTGGAATTTTCAAGGTGTTTCCCTTTAGCAGGAGGTGGTGCTCCCTGAGGCACCCTGGTGGTGCCTTACCCATTATGGCAGGTCCTACATAGTCGTGAGAGAGAAATAAAATGAAAGCACCTCCCATCCCTTTGGGAAACTCTGGTCCATTAGTTTTTCATTTGCCAGGAGCATCAACTTTTAATATTTTTTTCCTTTCCCTGTATCTCCTGGGAATATCAATCTGCATAGATCTATTGTTAATCTCGCAGCAAAGAGTTCATTTTCTCTGAAAGTCGTGACACTGCATTTTCAATCCAAAATGGGTTCAGCTATGCAGTCCATACTGATGGGTTGTGCTTTAATATATATTTATATGTCTGTACGTATATATATATATATATGTATCTTTCCCTCAATTGAACCCACTACTTTTGTTATCAATTGAATGTTGTTTGTAGCATTGTCCGCTCTTTAAAACTTGGGAGTCTGGATCAGAATCAGAACAATTTTGGAAATGAAACCATTTCTGAAGGTGAATGGCTAAGAACAACTTGCAAAACAAATGATCTATGCGATGGATGATTGTGGTTTAAGGATTTTAATGTTTGAGAGAAGAGGGCAAAAGAAATCTACTCCAATATTATATAAACTCAGTTTATAACAAATTAACTTCAGTCAATCCTGCCCAAGAACACTTGCCAGTAATTTGCCAGTGAGGGCCTTGTTTCAAGCGCAGGCTTTTAACTTGCAGTTTTAGTGATTTTTGAAAGCCTTCCCTCAATTCCAGTGTTACAAGTAACTAAAGCAGGAGCGAATCAATCTCCAGGCGAAGACTCCCCCAAAAAAGACATGCTCTCTTGTGCTGTGTGTCTGACTTAGGGAATTGTTGCTGCTTTTCTTCACAGTGAAACATTTTAAGGAGTGGGGATGCATTTAACCCTAACAGTCCATAATGATTTCTTGTTAATTGGATTTCTTGATAATTTCTTGTCAAAGCAATGCATTGGAAAGCAACAATGCAATATAGTGCACATCATGTAGTGTATTTTATGAAGAAGGGAGGTCAATTAATACATCTCTGTTTTTTTTTTTTTAATGCCCTTCTCATGCCACTTAGAATCAGCCATAACTTCACAACAGGAGGATGGCTTCACTAAAATATAAATGACGACCCACTGTTAGTATTTAGGAAGCAAGGAGCCTTTTGTATTTTGGTGGAGGGGAAGAGAGGAAGCTTTCTTTGGGGTTTTTTAGACGTCTTCCAGTGGTTATACATCTCTTGTTCCCAGTTTGTCATGCCACTGGAAGGCCTAAGGAGTTTCAGGGGCTGTAGGAAGGTTTGGTGGACCACTCAGAGAGCACAACAGGAAGGGGAGGCTGCATTTCTCTGGAATTTAAAAGAATTTGTCTTAATTATCTTCTTTATCTTTTAGTGGATAAAAAGCAAAGCCTTTATAAACCACTGGAAACAAAATGCTTCTATAGACATGCAGTGAAATTCTTCCCCTTTCTAGAATATTGCAGCTTCCTGAGCAACAGGTACTAAAATAAGGGTTTTTTTTTTGCTGTTATGTTGTGTCTTTTGAGCCTTCAGAGCAAAACAAAGGAGGTTCAGGAGAGATGAACTATCTGATCACACCGTAAGCACATGTTTAGGACTGCAAGGTGGATGGCAAGCAGTTGATGTGAGTGTCTCCTCGGCAGATGGGGGAGCTGAGCAGGAGACGCTCCCCGGCACCGGCCCCAGGCTGGCCGCAACACATACCTGAAACAGCCCTGCCTCAAGTCAACTGCCTGCCATCCACCTTGCAGTCCTAAACATGAATGTGGCTCGCCAGCACAGACACTCTGCTCCTCCTACGCCTGCAAATGGTGCCCAACGCGGGGCTTGAAGACTAGCTGTCTCTGGTTGCAGTGGCCAGCTGAACTCTGGGGTTCATGCTGAAAGGAAGCGTAAGGATCACGCTGAAAGGAAGCGTCCTTTGTGCGTGCACTAAAAGCCTCTTGAAAGGAAAGAGGTAAGCGGCTGGAAACTACGGGTTCATGCGTAACGAAGGAACAGCCCAGACTGAGTCTGTTCCTTCACAAGGTGCAGCAAATGGCGCCCGAACAGGGACAGAGATAGGCGACAGTGCCCAAGAAACAAACAAAGCGGGAGGTGCTGGGCTCAGCCCGGGGCGCTGCGGGGCTGCGTCTCGCGGAGGAGGGGGGGGGACCCGCAGCCACGCGGCCCGCGCGTGACCAGGCAGCTCATTGGGCAGCCCGCGCGTGACCAGGCAGCTCATTGGGTGGCCTCGCGCGCGGCAGGCGCGTGATCCCTTCTCTGATTGGCTGGGTGGGTGGTGGGGTCCTTGTGCTGCCAGGCAGGGCCGG